CCGCATCGAATTCACCAAATTCACCTGGGAATCTGAGACGCCATTTTGTAGAGACCGCGCGATCTAAACCAGACTCCGGCTCCCTTCTTCACAGCGGGCCGCGGGTAAATCAGGGCTTGTTTTTCGAAGTCTTGCCCCCCCGGGTGTCAGAAACAAATTGCCAGGCTGCGTTGTGCAACCTCCCCTCGCTTGGCGAAGGCCTGTTGTTGGAGGCGGGGGTGGGTGGAGGAATGGGTGCTCCCCAGTGATGCGACTTGAAGGGGTCAAGTGGGGTTTTATTTTTACACTGTGCAGAACGAAAGCGGTATTTTCTGGTGGGGATGGAAAAGAGGTGTTTGGCGAGAAAGTGTGCTGTGAGGCTGGGCTGCTGAGATATCTACGGGAGCAACGTATCATCCACCAAAAGCTTCTTTCTTTGAGTCCGAGGGGTGTTGAGAACCCGCACACCAGCAAAGAGAGAGGCGGGATGCTCGCCTGAAGGGGAGGTCCCGCAGGAGGAGGAGGTAGGACTGATCCAGATCAGGAGAGGACAAGCATCCTGCCCTCTGATCTGCACCACGAGCCCGTTGGCGACGGCTGCAGCAGGTCCCTTGGGGATGAAGAACCGGGCACCGTGCTGAGCGCAGTCCGAAGGGGAAGGGTTTTTTTTTGGCAGGTCCAGGTGCTTGCACAAAGGACCTCCAGCCGGTGCTTGCACATCCTCCAAGGCAAGCTACAACAGTGTCCCAAGAGCTCTGCAATTTTCACAGTGGGGTTTTTTTCAGTTTTATGGGTGTCACATCATCTGTTTGGGTGATACAAACCATCGTGGCCCTGACAGGATTTGTCTTTATCATAGAGGCATCTCGCTTTAGCAGGGATTGGAAATTTCCACGGCAAGCTTCAGACTCCTTCTCCCCAGAGGAAGGGAAAAAGAAAGCTCTGGTTTTTACTGTACCTAATAAAAAGCCAACGTTTAATATGTTGACAACTTTATTTCAGGGCAACCCAAAGCACCTCTGAAGTGTTCAACAGAGTGCGGCCATTTCACATCTGAGATAGCGGCAAAGCGGATAAGGAGCTACCGCAGGACCGAACCCCGCTGCACCAAACAAGCCGTCATGTAAGCACTGCCCCACCGCCCGCCTCCCTTTTTGCCGTACGCCCTCCAACACTGATTAAAAGCATTAGCCTGGCAGCAAACGCCCTCGCGGTGGAGCCGGGAGCAGTCTGGAAACAGGGAGAACGCTGGTATTGATTTTTCCCTATTTAAAGACCAACAGCCTCCAAGTGAGGTCAGGGGCGCATGCACAGAGCGAGACAGGGATAAATGGACGGGGAAAGGGACTGATGGACAATGTGCTTGTTGGCAGGCGGGGCAGAGGAAGCACGCGGGGTGAGAGCCCACGTATTTCTGTGAAAGTGGGTATTTTTTCTGGGACGCATTCAGACTTGTGAGCTTGTCTGGAGATGCGAAAAGCTACATTTTTTTTCCCCAGGGTAACTGTTGTTTTCAACTTATCGTGAAGATAAGGCACCATTGAGACCACTTCACTGCAGCCCAGGAGGTTGCTCCAAAGTGAACCTGCTGGCTTGATCTTGGAAAGTCTCATTTCAGTAAATCAAAGGGTTTTGTCTTGACGTATGCTTGCCCCAGGGCTGCTGGGAGCACTGCAGAGCTTCCTGCTCTGAGCACTGGAGGCAAACACTGCGTCCAAACGTTCAGGGAGGTGGTGGAGTCACCATCACTCGAGGTGTTCCAAAAACGTGTAGGCGTGGCACTTCAGGGCATGGTTTAGTGGGCACGGTGGTGTTGGGTTGGTGGTTGGACTTGATGATCTTAAAGGTCTTTTCCAACCTTAATGATTCTGTGATTCTATGACAATGCTTTTGAGAGAGAAAAACTTCTTAGGGGGAAACCCTTCATCCATGAGTCACATTCAGCTGCTCCTCATTCAGTCAGAGGCCCTTCCTGAAATAAATAAGCCATCCAACCCGGTGGTGTTTCCTATGGGCTTGAGAGAGTCCGTGTTGCCGCCTGCATGCCTTCCCTATCACGCTGTTCATCTAAAACCGTGTTTTCTTTATCTGGTAAGTGAACCCTTTCTATTTTCAGATTCATTACTCTGAAGTCCGTGGAGATGTGTGCAGATCCAGAGGCAGAGTGGGTGAAGAAGATCGTGGAGAAACTAGATCAGAAAAAGGCCACAGCCTCCCCACTTCCACGTGATGCCACCTCAGCAGCGGCACCAATAGAGCCCGGTGTTTTTCAGAAACATGTTGGTCGTACAGCAACAGCTCCATCTCAAGCCACTGTTCCACCTGGTTTCTTCCAAGGGACTGGCACAACGGTTTTGGAGAGAATACATGTTCCTGCTGCCGGGACAGAGGCGTCCAGCAAGTCCCCACCAGCCACGCAGGACACCACCCAGCTCCTTGCAGGATCGTCCCCCGTGATACGGGAAGTTGCTGCCCGCTCTGAAGTCACTCCAGAGGGAAACAGAGATTCCTTAAAATCTCCTGTACCTTCAACAACTTTTGCAGCAGGCATGGTCTCCAGCCAGCCCACCCCGCATCCGCCGGCTCTTGTGCATGGCTTTGACAACGCCGTAGGATCGACAGAAGAACCTATAGGACACGGTGCAAATTCTGTGGCTGATCTTCAAGACACGACTTCTCCCAGCTCAAATTCAGACCCCGTGGCCGTTACTAAAGCATCAGACCATCCTGCACTTTCTACAAATGAATCCCTGGACCCTACAAGTGCAAGAGCCAACGCATCAGGCACTGCGTCTAGCAGTTTTAGTTCAGATCTCCCCTCCATCCTGGACAGCATGGAGATCGCCACAGTTCCAGCCATGCCAGTTCCACCAGAGACTACTTCAGTTTCTACTCTGAACTCCACAACTTCCATAGGCAAAGGTCCCTCTGTCCGTACCAACAAGGTTCTCAGTTCCTCTGCAGATACTTTTGGTACTAGAACATTTGATTATTCATCGCCTGGAGGAAAGCAAGAGCCTTCAGATGCGTTAGCTTTCACTAGTCAAGCATTCTCAGGCCAAGCCAGAGTGCAGGTGACTACAGAAAGACCAAACGATCTGCTTCTTCCCAGTTTCTTGTCAAGATCTCAAATGCACTTTGTCATCCCAGTTTCTGTGGTAGGTGGTCTTATGGCTTGCAGTGTTGCTGTTGTATGGCTATATCTAAAATTTGGAGTCAAAACAGAAGAAATGTCAAGAGAAATGGTACAGGGCTTGCTCTACCAGAAGGAGGGACATCAAAACAATGTCTTTCCAATGGAAGTAATCTGAATGCTTTATGGCGTGGACATTTTTGGCCCAAACTACATGCGTGTTGCTGCAGGAAAGCTAAGTTTATGCTGAACAGGTGACCAGTAGGAAGCAAGGCAGGGCATAAATAAACCAGAGAAAACGGACTTTTTTTTTGCAGAGCAGAATGTCCAAAAATGTACCTGATTTGTCATTGACCAATGATGGCATTTGGAAATAAATGAGATGCTTTTTTTTCTTCTGGCACTGTTACGTACAAAGGCTGTTGCTGGTCTAGAGCTGCTTGGTGGCTCTTCACCAGGTGGTGGGCAGAAGTGAATTTCCAAATGGCTGTTGGGAATTTTTCTGCGTTTCATCATGGCCCACCTGAAAAGCCACCCACTCACCCCTGCTGCCGGACTCGGGCTCAGCCACCGCGAGCAATCTCAACACCAAACCCACAGGATTTGCACTTAGCGAACTCTCTGCTGCTTCTTTCTTCGCACTTCAGGTTGCTGCTCTGTCAGACCAAGACCAGTGCTGGTGCTCAGCTGGGCGCTGACTCTCCTTGGGCTGATCAAACATCCCATTTACTCTTGCTGGAGACAAGAGTCTTTTCAGTAGCTTTTCAGACAGAGGTGATGAAAACTGCTGAAAAAGTCTGATTAGGGGACTGAAGGTCAATACTACAGATTTCACGTTCAGAGGAGCTGGCAACCCACAACCTACCTCCTCCTCGAAATCCGGCCACCTTTCTCTCCAACAGCTGTGGGCGTTTCTTCTTGCAGATTGAGTCTGAGACCTGGTTCTTGGCAAATCAACCCTTCTGCCAGCTGATGCACCCTGTGTCCAGCTGCGTCCAACACCGGGGCAGGATAACGTGGACGGGCATTTGCAAATGGGAGAAAACAAGAAGTCACCCAATAATGTTGCTATTCCTGTGATATCATTGGAGGGGTTTTGCTGTTCTCTGCAAGCACAAATCCCAGGAAATACTCTCTTGGAGGAGCTAAAGGCAACTCTGGATTTAGTCATAGAGGACTTGCTCCACCACAGCAGACGTGACATCCTTCTGGTCTTCTCTCTAGAAACAAGCACGTTTGCTGATCGACAAAAAAGCACAAAATGCCAGATCATGGTCCTACACTTCAGCCACACTTTAGTTTTTCTTTTTCGGATAGCACTGATCGCCAGGCTCTTAAAGCACCATAACAGCACCCGGCTTTTTTTTTTAACCTAAATTGGTGGTTGATTTTTACACATCTAGACGTTGCTGTATGTAAGCCTTATCTTTTATCTGTGGTCAGTTCCTGAAAGCCCTTATTAAACACTGACTCCAGTACGAATTTTGCTGGAGCGTGCAAAGGTCTTCATGATATGATGCTTCATAGGTAGAGATACGTATCAAGGGTCAGATCCTCCTCTAACCAACCTCGGTGGATCAGATCCCAAAGTATAAATACGCATGTAGAAAAAAGAACACAAAAACACCTAATAAGCAAGATAATCAAAGCAAAAATGATGGGCCAGCTGCAAAGCAGAGCTAGAGGAAGGTGGCCTTTTTAGATCCACCAGCTCGCACCTTCCGGGCATCCGTCCGGCCCTGGAGGTGGAGAGGATAGACTGCAACGGTGTTTGTTTCCTGCCGTCATTCAATCCCTTATTTCTGCCTTTTGTTGACTTGAGAGAGGGGAGCCGGGCGTTCATCTCGGGCTTTGCAAGTACGGAATGCAATCAGATTAATTGTAAATTAGGAATTTGGAGTGAAAACCCTTCCTTGGCGGCAGCACTCCCGTGCAGCCCAGCTGTGCAACACTGGGGTTGATTTACCCCGGGGGTAAATCAGCGCTGCCTCCCCATCCGCCCCGCTCGCGGCTGGCTCGGGTTCGCGGCCTCGCGGTTGTACTGCGGTGTACCTCGCGGTATACCATGGCATTGTTTTTATATGAAACACTAGAAATGTTATTTTTGTAGTAAAGTTTTGTAGCCATTTGAATGTATGTCGTGTCCCGTCTTCGCTACTGGAGCGTCGCGGAGTCGAGACCTTTCTGGGAACATGGGAAAACACTGTGCCTCGTCTATTTTCTTGCTGGTCCTGGGTGTCCGGGGGCTTGTCCGTGGGAGCTGGGTCGCTCTCCAGGCACTACAGCAAATGGAGTGGGCCCTTGTCCGGCTACGGCTGAAGTCCTTGGGCCTGGAGCGATGCTGGGGAGATGCATGTGTACCAGCGCAGATCTGATCACTTCGAGTCCCACCGCGGGCGTTTGTAAGGACGCTGGTTTTGGCTCCACAGCTGGCTCCCACCCTCTCCCAGCTGCCATGGTCACGCTGGCGCTCGTCAGGAGGAGCTGGTCCTCCAGCTCAGATCCATCCTTGAGCTCCCCTTGCTGCTCCCTCCTCTTCCCAGGACTGCCAGCAGGCAGCGTGTGGGCACCCCTCATGGAGGGCAGCTGAACCCCAGGGCTGCTCCTCCTTGCCTTACGCTGTGCGACGGGCAGTTTGGGAGGGCAGAAGCTGGACCCCGGCTCAGGAGGAGGAAACCTGGGTTTCCTGGTTCCTTTAGGCTTAAAATACAGAGCGCAGCGTCTTACAAGCTCTGATTCGTGTATCCAGTATATATGAGTGTGTGTGCGCGAGATATATGTTCTGTACCCTTTTTTAGAAGCAGAAGCAATAAAGTCCTTCCTTTGGATCTCATGGGATTCAGTCCAGGGCTGGGTGACCAAGCCTGGCCCCTGCAGAGGTGCGGAGAGGAACGCGCGTGATTAAGCACCGTGGGGGGAATCCCAGCATTGCCGAGGATGGCGAAGCTGGCACAGCTGGTGCGGCCGGGCTATTGCCCCACCTCTTCGCTGTTGAAGGGCTTCTGCCTTGCCAAAAATTTGCAGGGAATGTATTTTCTCGCAGGAAGTCACATTGCCCATCCTGCTAAGGCAATACTGAATAAACATTTTGCTTTGTTTAAGCAAAGCCACAACCAAACAGGAACCCACAGAAAGTGAACGTTAACGCTCCAGGTCGGTTCTGCAAGGGGGTAAGAGGCCAAGGGCTGAGTTAGGACCTCTCCCACCCCAGCCAGGCTTCGGGATGCTCTTGCGTGCTCCTTGAAGTGCTGGGGAGGGGAGGTGGGAAAGGCCACAAGAGTCGGTGCCCAGGGACTTGCCTGGAGCGGGGAGCTGGAAGGAGCAGGAGGCTCAAGGATGAGCATCTCCCCTGCATCCCAGGAGCCTTCATCCCGGCCGTGCCACAGCTCTGTGACGTGCAGCCACCCTGCCCCGCGCTCCGGCATCGCCGGCGGGCTGGGAAGATGGTGAGGTTCCTGAAAACTTCCCCCAGATGAATCACCAGGACAAGAAAGGTCATTCGGGGGGTTAAGAAGCTCTGTGGAAGGAAAAGCACTTTCTTATTCTTTCTTTTCTTTTCTCCTCTCTGTCATGGGGAGAGGAAGGGGGAGGCTGTGTAAACAAGTCAGCCCCGACAGTGATGAATCATTTCCGACACGCGGAGCGAGCACAGGCGCCAGCGCGGGGCCGTGCCGGGGTTGTGGCTCCAGGGCAGCGAGGCAGCTTTTGGATACCCGCTCCCTCGGGCGGCTGGTGGCACAGGGTCGCCGGCTTTCCTGCTGCTCCCTCTTTTCTCTCGTCTGACAGTGCAGGATGTCCAGCCACGCACCTTCCTGTGCTTCTCCCGGAGGTCCATGGGCTGCCTCAGCTGTGGCAGACTGAAGAATTGGGCTCAGGAGACGCCAAGTCTGCCATGGGAACAAGGCTCGCCTTCTGCGCCTAGCGTGCAAGACCTGCTTCTGCCTCGAGGTATCCCCCCAGCCCACAGGAGCCAGCAGGACCCATGGCCATGGTGTGCCCCTTCTGGTCCCTTGCTGACCCGCATCTTTGGTTCCCAACTCCAAACCGTCAGCACAAGCCGTCTCCACCGCTTCGTTGGCCAGCTGTTTTGATTGATCTGATGAGAACAAGGAGTCACTGGGGCTCCACACAGGCTCAGCTCCATGCCTTCACATACCCACAGGACCCATCAGGTGGCACGGTGGCAAGCCTTGAGGGCACTAATTGGCCTTAATCACCCTGACCAGCCTCAGCTGTGGATGGACTCAGCTGTGGACTCACCCACACACCCCTCCCCTGCCCAAGGCCCAGGTGCCCCATTTAAGCTCAGGCTTGAGCCTCTAGTCCCTGCTTTGGATGTGTTCTAAGAGCACCGGTCTGACGTCCTGGCTCTGGCCCTGTCTCTTAGATAGACCTTGGACCTGTGCTGTAGGTGTCTTCTCTCCTGGCTGGCTGAACCTTTTGTAGCCCCATCTCTTGTCCCCATCTCCTCCTGCTGCTGCTGAACGGATGTCCCCTAACCCTCCCAAAGGGCTCCTGGGTCTGGTTCCTCACTTTGGTGTGTCTGGGGCCGTTGATGGACCCTGTTACCAGCACCTGGCTCTGCCCCCCACGCTCAGACCCTGTGGGACCTCACCTCGCTGGTGAGGACACTGCCTGTGCTGGGGTCACCTTGGCTCCTGCCTCGTCCCTCTCACTGCTCCCCGCAGGCTGGACCTGGCAGCGAGACGCCTCTGCTGTTGTCTTCTCCAAGCCCCGGCTTCTCCCCAGAGTGCTGGCTGAGGGGCACGGTTAATCCTGTGAAGCAGAGACCCTGCAGTCTCCGTCGGCCCTGGGTTAGGACTGTGGTGGGCTGACCCTGGCTGGAGGCCG